ACTCGTGATTGGAGGCTAGCAATAGGAGGAAGCCTCTTTGCAGAGACAAAGTATGGGCAGTTTTGCAACCGCGCGGTTCTCTCCTCGGCTGACTTCCTTGAATAAGACGCCCTTCAGTTTTTAGGGTAAGGATTTTAGAAAAAAGTATCATCTTATAGTCGGAAAAATACAGTACTTAGTCCAAGGATTTCTTTTCAGTTCCAGAACTGAAAGCACAATCTTTTCACACCAAAATCCAGTCATGAATTCTTCCTCAGCTTTCCATTTGGGATGGGGACAGGGCAGTTGTTAAAAAACAAATGCAAAGGAAAAACAAGAATTGGAAACCCCATTCACTCTGGGAGCCACCATTGTATACTGCTTGCAGAGTGTCCTTTGTGTCTATGTTTTGTGTCTTTTAGATAAAAACTTATCCAAGTGCATTTATAGCCAAATATTTAGGAGAGAAAGCATATTCAGAAATGCCCATTGGGTTAGGAAATGTATAATTTGTATTTACATGTCGACTTTCATGCAGATGTAAAAAAAAAAAAAAAAATTAACGTGGAAATGGGTTACAGCAGACTTAGCAATGACTTTCCATTAAATAGGCCTGTCTTTGTCCAAGAAAAACAAATATGCCTCTTGCTTTATAAGTTAATTACTATGCAGCTCTTTAATTAAAAATGCTTAAAGGTTTGCCGCCTCCTGTTATTAAGAAATCCTCTCCTGATTTTCCTGTGATTAGTAGGGGACAGATGTGTAGCTACTAACCCACATGGCTTCAAGCTGCTTTTTCTTCCCTTGTATAATAAATTAAATGAAGGGTAAAATTGGATATGATTTCACTGATATTCTTTTGCTGATTGGTTTTATGCAACCTATCAAGTCTCTTCTGATTTCTGGGCAAATGAAAACTTGAGACCCGGAACAACTGAATTAAATGTTATTTTCAGCGAATACTGAAAATATGAAACATAACATCTAAATTAATGATCTTGGGCACCAGCAAAGCATATTCTCTGGGCAGCAACTCCAGATGTGGCTCTGTAGTTCAGTGTCTGCTAATTAGGAGTGTAACTAGGATGGTTGATCTGAGTACCTGCTCTGGATAGAGTATCAACAACAGTGCACAGCAGGCTTCCCAGATCATAGTGGATGCTGACTTATCGGAAGGATATTGTATTAAGTGCTCTTTCCTCTCAGCATGGAATAGTTGAGCATTATTTCAGAGTGTCCCAGGCAAAGCCAGGTATCAGTTAAATCAGAGACTTCAGGAAGTTTCCAATGACCCCATTGCCTGGGTTCACCCATTGCATTTAGCCATAACATATTGTTGGACTGGGATTTATAAACCATGGCTTATAGTTTTGCTTGTGGTATAAACCCAGACAGTTGTACTTCATTCAGCATGATTGGTTAAAACAAGCTATGTTAGTGTGGTGGGTGAATCCAATAAATGAACAACATTTAAAGGGTTGTGGGGCTGCGCAGGCTAGCTTCCTCTCCTAAGGCTGACAGTGGCTATACCCTCCCACTCACCCACCAGGCGTCTACCATCTGTTACTCTAGATCTGTGCCGGGAACAATGCTCTTTGGAATACAACTCTTATTCATACACTGCCGCTCTAATACTGCTGACAGAGTGAAGCATAGACTTGGGAAGTTGTGAAAGTTGTAGGGCAGCCTTCTCCCCCCTGGTGCCATCCAAATGTGTCAAACTATATCTCCCATAATTCTCAGTTACCATGTACATTGGGAATTGTACTAAAAAAGTAATGATTCCCCCCAGGTCAAGCTCATAGTGACTTCATGGACACATTCATGTGGTATTCTTGACCATTACCTTCTACTGGCAAATTTTTCTGACTTTCCCATCTAGCCATCTGAAATGTCCTGTTAGTCTCTCATCCAAGTACTTTAACTTAACTTTAAAGATCAGCTCAATACTACCGCCTGGCTAGGCTAAACAGCAAAGACTCAGTGCAATCAAGGTCAATCTTTAGTGATTAAGTGTATATATCTCTGTAAGAATTGCAGGGGGGTGGTGGTTCTTGTTTGATTGTTTTGGCTATATGGAAAGTTTTTCCCATTGACTTTTTCCAGGATTCTTCTTCTTTTTTTTGGCTTTTCAGTCTAGCTGCAGACCAAGGATTTTCTTTTGGCCTCCCATCTAATGATGAAGCAGGTCTGACTCTGCTAACCCTTTTTTATTAGGCATGGTCAGCTAGGTGTCCCCACTTGTACTACAGTCAAAAAGTCACACATTAGGGTGAGACTGTCATGAGTTTACTCAACAGTGATGACATTCAAGAGTGACTGAAAGAGTAGAGCCAGAAGTCATAGTTACGTAATGAAGTCAAGAGGCAAGGCTGAGGTCCCAGGAATACATAAAAGTCAGGAAAACGTATTGCTCAAGCCATGTCCAGGCTCAACAGAAAGCTTGTTTCAATCTTTTTTTATCCTGAAAAGTCCAATGTCTAGCTTGAAGGGGTAAATCCAGTCCATCAAGTAGGCACTTTGAGCTAACTATGAGCCCTCAATTTCATGGCTACCGCCCCTGTAGCACCAAAAAGCTGGATAGGTATCTTTATTTGGCTCATTGGAGGAGGAGTGGATGAGATATCTAAAGATAGTTTATTTTGCAGTGTACAGTTACCTGTGGTGGAGGAGTACGTACTCGCTATGTCACTTGTACCAAAAACAATGGAGAACCATGTGATGTTTTGAAGAAACCCCATTCTAAAGCTCTGTGTGGTCTACAGCAATGCCTATCCACCCAAAGATTGCTGATGACTCATTTCAAGTTCCATAACGGAAAGATCATTAGAAGAATAGGGGCTACTCCCAGAAGAGGCCCTTCAAAAAAATTGGCCACCCCAGAACCACAACCAAGAATCCATTCAACAATAATACCCAAGCTCAAAAACATTACTTTGTTACCCACTTCCTCTAGTCTTGTAAATTCTTCTCAAAATAAAGACTTGGAAGTAAAAATGTTACAAAACAATTCCATTGACTCAAACATACCCAGTAACTACTCCTGTGTAACTAGTGACAACAGCTCTTTGCAAAACAGCACTCATGAACCTATCATAACTAATTCACATGTTACAAATGCTGGGAACATACCTTTAGAAGGTAGTTCCATAAACAAGGACTCCTTTACCATTGACCCCATTTATAACCCAAAGGGTAATTATCTAACTCAAGCATATAACACAACACCCAACAGTACTGAAGGAGAAATAAAAGACTACATCCAGACTGAAAGACCAACAGAAAGGTTCCTTACATTCACCCCAAGCAAGGTCTCAAGAATTTCACATACAGATGATCAGCCTGATAATTTCAACCAATTTTCTGTTACTCCAGCAAGAGGAATTGAGGTTTCATTGACAACGACAGATCTCAAAGGTCTTCATGTACAAATAAATCCACCTGTTACAGCAGATCCTGTTACAGAACAACCAACACTATTAGAGGATACATTAGAAGAGAAATCTGCAAATACAACACCATCAAAGTCCTCTTTCAGTGAAATATCCCCTTGGCCCACAGAAAGTCCGTTTGTGCGAGACACCAGTATGCCAAAGAGTGAGAATACTTTCAAAGCAATGTTGCTAAATGACTCTGATTCAGAAAAGTCCAGAAACCTGAATATTGATGCCTATTGGTTGGTGGGAAACTGGAGTGAGGTGAGTATTCACACTGTCTTACAATGTTTACAACTGTCAATGCAATGTTATTTTTATCAGCACCATCTTTAACATTCTTAGATTCTTCAAATGAAGAACCTTTCAGCTGTGTTCCTGAGAAATACTACTACCATGTATAGCCCCCATAAAACTGAATTTGTAATATCGCTAAACCTTTTCTGGGTCTCTTCTGGTCCTTTTCTTCCAGCTGCATAGACTGATAAAATTGAAAGTGGATCTTAGGTTTTAATTAATATTAATATAACAATTCAATTAAATGCCAAGGAATAAAGTACTTCCTCTATTTTACTGTAGTGATGCATCCAAAGAGCAGACACTTGGTTTGAAAGTATTTTCAGCCATTATACTTTGGAAGCTGATGAAATATTCCTGAAAAAAACAATATGGCGCAAATGAAAGCATGGAAGACCACCTCGCCCTCAGACTTTGTTAGATTTGTTAGATTTTCCACAGACTTTCCTTCAGGGACTCAAGGTGGAACCCATAGCACTTCTCATTTTTTCCCACAAGAAGTCTGTGAGGTAGGTTGGGCTGGGAGATTATGACTGCTCCAAAGCCATGTGAGTTTTCATGGCTGGGAGCAGATTTGAACCTGAAAATTCCAGATCCTAGTCCAGTGCCTTAATCATTATCCCACACTGGTTCTCAAAACTATTTCTGGGTAAACAAGCTTGAGTTTATGCTCACAGGTTTTGAGAGGACAAAATATTTATCTTGAAAAGTATGTATATATACAACAATATATACAACTCCGGGAGTTGAAGTCCACGCGTCTTAAAGTTGTCAAGGTTGAAAAAAAGGCTGAACTAGATAAAAGAACAAGAACAATGTTAAAAACCATATAAAATCATACTAACGGAATCAGTCGTGTTCCCAATGTAAACTCTTGCTTACTTTTCCCTCCTTTTGCCTGCCTTTCATCCTGTTTTGCCACTGAGCTGTTTTTGATGTTTGCTAATGTCTACCAAATAAATCTCAAGCTATGTGTTTGCTAGCTCCACTGAGTGACCTGTGGGCTGTTCCAGAGATAGGGATTGACTATCTGGGAGTCTGCGGGATGCCAATGGACCTGGAAATTACACACAGTAGTTTCCCAACAGTCTGCACAGGAAGTCATTTCTGAGAATGGTTCATTTCCTGCTTTGCCTGAAAATGTTGAAAAGCGCTTATCGTGTAGCAAATTAGAACTCCTTGGGAATTTCGGGGGTGCTTTCATAAAGAGATTTATAACACTTGAGAATGCAACTGGGCAAGGTGAAATGGATTATTTCCTATTTTGCACTTCACTGCAAATATGTCAAATTAATTAATAAAGCACCATGGAGAATTGCAGGGCAATTGAATAGCTGTGCACAGCTGTTGCTTATCTCTTTGGGGTTTTAGGGAAATAGAAGCAATCTTTTCTACCATATTTATACAGGCAAGATGCCTTTCAACCGCATTTGATTCTTTGAGACTGTCAGAAGGATTAAAACACCTTCTTTTCTCACGGTCCATGCCAAGCTGGGAATCCAATCCAATACACCAGACTCTCAGTGGGGAGTCAAAATATGTTCATTCACCCAAAGTTATCAAGTTGCTTTGGGTTGGTGGCACTGGAGCACTTCTCTTTGTTTCCCGTTTTATAGGGTTCTGAAGTTTAGAAATTTAGCCAATCGTTATCAATAGAATGGAATGCATTAGCTTATTACAAACAAAAGTTTCCTTATCTTAGATATAAAGCAGATGCTTCCTTATTTATAGCTAAACAAATGTCTCTTTATCTAGAGCTAAAACAGCTATGTTTTTCTATGCATAAGATATATGTTTTCCTTTATATGAGTATGCTACGTAATGTCTCTATTGCAAGCTTTCTCAACTTCAGCAACTTTAATATGGTTGGACTTCCAAACCCCCCAATTTTTCCCTCCCATCCCTCTGGGGGGTAGTTTTATTGAGTTTTTATCCACATCTCTTTTTTTAAAGTGAGGGCAGGGAGCACTTC